ACTATATACATACATACACACACACACACACACACTCCTGGTTTCTAGTAAAGAGATGACAAGAATCTGAAGGTTTCCTGAGGATCGTCCGTCAGCACAGCCTGGAGTGGAACCGGGTCTGTCCTGGCGTCCATGCTCATCTCACCCACCTCATTTTATTCTCTGTAAGGATGACACACCTGCCTCTTCTTCCCATGACTTGGTTCCTGCTACTTTGCTCTTCCTTGCCACTAAAATATCCAAATTCTCTTAGTTCTGGATGGTGTGAAAAAGGGAAAAAGAGAAACTAGGAAAGAATCAGGAGTGAGGAATGTCACAGAAGAAAGGAACAGTTTTTTTTAAGACAAGTTTTTTCCCCCAAAGGGAAACAAGAAATCCCAAGTTAGAAATCACTACAGCTGACACTGAAGGTCCCTGTCAGACTCTTACTCACTTCAGAGCAGCTACTGACTGTCTCACCTGCTGGCAAGAGTCATTTCCCAGCAGGCCCACAGGTGCTCAACCAATGATGGGGATGGGCAAGAAGGCCAGTGGGAGATAAGAAAAGGAAGTAATCTTTGCCAAGGCAGCCATAACTGTTTATCGAGACCTTGTTTCAGAAAGGGGGGAAGATGGTATAATGTAGGCTTGTAACCTCTGCTACTGGGGAAGCTGAAGCAAGAGGACTCCAAGTGTAAGGTCTGCCTGGGCTTCAGGTTTAGTGAGGATCTGCTTTAAAATAAAAAGGAGAAAAGAGTTTAGGATGTAGCTGTATTGTGTGTTTGTCTAGCATGTGTGAGATGCTGGGTTCACTTGGTATCCCAAATGAAAAAAGAAAAAGAAAGGAAACATAAATGAATAGATTGTTCTACTGCCTTTTGTTATATATTTTATTGTAATTTATATATTATATGTAGTATTTTAGAATAGATGGGTGAATGGATAAAAATGTGTGTGTATTGAATATTTGACACATTTCATAAATACCAATAAAATGAATATTCTCAGCTTTGAAAGTTTTGCTTTCTATTCATGTTTCATATTTCATATTTTGTTGACTTCAAATGCTGATTCCTGGCTCCCTCATCACTCTCCACCCTGTCCTCTGTGTAGTGCTGCAGTGGCTATTGTAACTGAGTTATGGGAGTTGCAGGGATTGCATTTGCTGAGTGCTTTAAGGACTTTGCTAATGAAGAACACTTTTTTCTTTTGATTTATTCTTCTATCATAGAGTACATCCCAAATGCAGTTTCCCCTTTCTTCTCTCTTCCCAGAAACCCCCATTTCCCCTCTCCCCCAGATCCACTGCTCCTCCATTTCCCTTCAGATAAGAGCAGGCCTCCCAGGAATATCAAGCAAACATGGCATAACAGAATGCAGTAAGACTAGGCGCAAACACTCATGTCAAGGCGGAACGAGTTTTCCTTATCGTCTGCTCAGATCAGATATTTGCTCATCATCCCAGCTCGTGACCTGATTTCAGATTGGTCAGACTCCTTAAGAAGCCTCATCTGCCTTTCTGATCACTTTTCTGCCATGCTACCATTGTCTTAGGTGAATGTGAGTCCATTTTCTTTTGTAAACCTAGAAAGAGCCTGAATCCTTCTCTATAGAAAGAGCAGTTTGGATCTGAGATTACCCTGAACTCTTGTTGCCGTAGTCTGGAATTTGTCTCATCTTATTTTGTCGTGTATAGTAAAGGAAGCTAGCTGGTCACCCTTGGCTCACAGCTCCTATTTTCTTTAATTTGTATTATTAAACTATTAAATTTGCCATGTCTTTTCTAATTGAGTTTTATTGGTTCTTTAGCTTTTCAGGAGCTATTTAGAAAATTTTATGAAACTTGTCATTGAAGCACATTGTGGTTGTTGCTGCAGCAGTTGGTGGTGACTCAAGCATGGCCGAGTGACACAGTAAAAGACACTTCTTTCACTCTGCTGCATAAGTATGACTGGACATTTTTGGCATTCTGCTTAAATTTTCACTTCTGCCTAGCTCATCAGAATCCTAGCAATTAAGCAGGGAGTGGTGGAGCACTTTAATCCCAGCACTTGGGATCACTTGGGAGGCAGAGGCAGGTGCATCTCTGAGTTTGAGGAAAGCTTGGTCTACAGAGTGAGTTCCAGGTCAGCCAGGGCTACACAGAAAAATCCTGTCTTGGGGGGAAATTAAACAAAAACAAAAGCCATAGCAATTAAGTAAAGAAAATAATTTTCTTCTCTGTGACCAAAGATGGTCACAGTGGGCAATCTTTTGCTTCATGTGCATTGGTCGGTTTGAGAACTTAGAAATACATCACACTAATTTGAAATAAAATCAAGAATTTTCTTTAATTAGAGGGTAGAAGATAAGTCCTTTAACTTCTTTTATATTAACTTTTAAAATTTAAACTTAAGTTTTTAAACTTAAACTTTTAAAATTAACTTTTTAAACTTTTTAAATTTTTAGCTTTTTAAAATTAATTAATTTATTTATTTTATATCCCAATAGCAGTTTCCCCTCCTTCCTCTCCTCCCATTCCCTACCCTTGCCTCCCTCCAATCCATTCCTCTGTTTTTGCTCATAAAGGGACAGGTCTCCCACAGTTAACAAAGCATGGCATATCAAGTTGAGGTAGGACTAAGCTCTTCCCATTGTATTAAGACTGGGCAAGGAATAGATTCCCAAAAGCCAGCCAAAGCATTAGGGACAGCCCCTGCTCCCACTGTTAGAAGTCCCACAAGTAGACCAAGTTACTCAACTGTCACTTATGTAGAGGGCCTAGGTGAGTCCAGAGATTGTGGGGGTGGCCAACCAATGATTGGTCCAGCCTCAGTCCCATGCCACGAGAATGAGCCCACCCTGACATTCACTGCCTGGAGTGCCAGGACCCACAGACTGGATGGCCCAGAGACCTAGGATAGAGTCAAACACAGGGAACAAAAAATGCCAACGTAATGATGCCTAACAATATTTCTTAACATTTTAAAACTGATTAAAAAGATCAAGGTTAGATGGTCTATAAGCTGTCTTCCAATCCAGAAATTATATTCCAGTAATAATAATAAGTTGATAATTTTGGCTTTTATTAGATTAAGTCCGTTTGGTCCTATTAATATGAATTTGAAATAATTTAAAATACTAACTCCTATCTGTCTGCCAGATACTTGCAATATAGTGATAAGCCAGACATCTTTCAAAGAGTTTCTGTTTTAGTAGGAGTAAAAGACAACAAGGGGAGTTTTTTAGTGGTTGTCAGCACAGCGGTGAGCAGAGCAGGAGGAGCGGAGGGGTGGTAACTAGAACTGAGAGCGAGGAAGTAGAAAACAGGTGGACACAAATAGAAAGTAAGGGGTGAGAGGTGGCTGCTCGTCCAGACTTCCTGAGTTTGATTCCCAGCACCTATGTTACGTGGCTCCAGCAGTCCTAGGGGTAGGGAGGGCTATCCGAAACTGCTAGCCTCTGTGTAGACACCTGCGCTCACATGTCCATACCCACACAGAGACACATGTACATACACATAATTTAAAATAATAAATGAAAACCTAAAGAAGGAAACGGAATGTAACTGGATGTCAAGATCTTTCTCCTTTTCCAAAATCATATTCTGTGGACATCACTGATAGGCCAAGATTTTCTGGCAGAGGCTGGGCTGTAACGAGTAGTAGAGCATGTGCTTAGCATTCAGCAGGTTCCACCCTCGCACCAAAGCAAAACCAGAGCTAATGGTGGGAGCCCCAGTGCTGTATACAAGACCTGTTATGTCTGATTTTCATTTCCTCATCTGTAATATGGAAGGTTAGGTCATCTCTGGTGGGTTCTGAGAAGATGAAGAGCTAGCTTGCTCCTGGCAGCAGCTCCTTGAGTTTACCAACAGAAAGTTTACACGTTTACTCTTCAAGATCCAGGTAGTTGCACCACCAGCCATCCTCCCTGTCTTTTGTCCTATAATTGTCCCCAGTGGCCTAGGTAGTAAAGACGAAGTTGCTTATTATTTTCTCCACACTAGAAAACTTGCTATTTAGATGGGAATGCTTGGCCTTAAAAGGCTTTTGCAGTCAGAAATGGCTGAGAGATGAGTGGTAGTGGTCGTGTGAGCAGTGAAAACATTTAAGATATCAAGCAAAATTTCACTTACTTCATAGAGAAGGAGATTGTTTCCTGAACTGAATCCTGGAAGAGTGGACCCAACCTCACAGGTCTCCGACTCTATTGCCGATGTGGGGTAGCTTGTTTAGAACCAAGGCACTGTCTGCCATTCCATACAAACAAAGGGAAAACCACAAAGGTATGTGCCACACTCAGAAAGATGGACCAGGGGCTCTAGTAGAGTGCTGCTGCTGCTGCTGCTGCTGCTCCTGAACATTGTTCTAGAGGAGATGAAGATCTAAGTTAGCTAGGACAAACTCAGGGACAAGACAGATGGTGCAGATGTGGTAGTGCACACACAGCCAAGTGTGATTGGGGCCTTGAGTAAGAATGTAATGTTCACAATCCGATACGTTTGATATTTCTGCATGGCTGAAATTTTTATAATATTTAGGGAGAAGAACATACATTGAGAGTTTGGCTTTGAACAGAACAAGGGGACACTCACTCCTTGTTAGGCCGGGGAACTATGGAGGCCAAGATTGAAGCCTTAGTTTCTGTTGTTATTGTGGGGCCTCGCTGTCACCAGCTGGTCAAGGGCTGGAAGAGGACACTGAGACTAACAGTGGAGTAGCTGCTGTTGACAAAGGGACAGGCCGAGCAGACATTAGTGAAGGAAGGGCAACGATGCCCAGGTCTGGGCTGTTGCCTGGCCTCATCTGCAGTTTTCAGCAAGCTGATGGACACAGAGACAGGCGGTGTGGGGGCGTCAGGGAAGGCAGAACCAGCAGGTACAGGGTGAGTCCCAGCACCTTTTCTGAGTATTCTTGTTACCTCTGGGGAGAATCTTTTTCTCCCCTACTGTCTTTTGAACTAAATGAGGTTAACAGTATCCAGTAACCCTTGTTGACAACTCTGGTCTCTAACTTAGATGAATTTCTTGTCTTCCTTAGGTAAAAGAAGAACGTCCAGAAAAAGTGCCAGATTTAAAATTACTAGTGGAGAAGAAATTTTTGGCTTTGCAGGATAAGAATTCTGATGCTGACTTTAAAGACAATGAAAAGTTTGTGCAGTATAAGCAGCAGCTGAGGGAGCTGAAGAAGCAATGTAAGTCGGCCGCTTTGCTTTGGCTATTGACATGAGGGACCTGACCCGTGAGCAGTTCTCTCCTCTGCTTGCTTCCTCCTCCTGAGTGCCTTGTCTTGTTGCAGTTTTGTGTTTGACTAATTTTAGTTCCAGTCACCTGTCCATTTCTGAAAGCCTATAGTTTCCACAAAGTGTCTCACTGCTTGGGAGGGAAATTTGGAAAACAAAATAAAATGGGAAACCATTTTATTTAGATGATGGTGGTAATTCTTTCAAAATATGAACTGCTGTGCCAAGCTCTAGAGTATGTTTGTTCCTGTCTGCTGCTGTGGAGCAGCATTGGAGAAGGTCCCTCAGTGTTCTTCTCTAACACAGTCCAAGTCCCTCTGACGCTGTGCCCTGGGTACTGTTAATTCCTTCCATGTGATTTTAAATTGGCTTCTACTCTAGACGGCTGTTATGTTTACAGTTTTCAATTGGCATAATTTTGACTTGAAAATGAGATTCAGCAAATAATTCATTACACACACACACAGAGTCTTAGAGTGTACCAGAAATAACATGTCTGATGCACAGTGGAGAACCAGTGCTCCATTCTCTCCTGGTTTCCATGTGGTTCTCAAAACAATGTCAAGTGAATTACGTCTTTTTTTTTTGGTCTGTGAATCTATTTAGTTGTGTAGGATCTTTTTGTTTTGGTTTGTTTTAGAATCGAGATTCATTTATTCCTTAAAGAACGGTAGAAAAGAGCAGATAAATTTTCCCTCTTCAGCATTACTCGTCTTTCAGGTTCCTTTGTTTACTGACAGAGCAGGGATGGTACATGTGACATGGATCCATCCTGTGGCCATAGATGTATTCAGTGTAGCGGTTTGGGTTTTAAAGTAGGCCTTCTTCTAAATATGAATGTTTTCTTTAAATTGGTGCCGAGATCTCAAAAATGACTGAGGAAGCTGCTTTAGTTTTGTCTATTTTACAAATAACTTAAGTTTCACAATTTAGAAAGTTTTGCAATCATGATGAGACTGTTGCTGTTCTGTAGATTTAAACAGTAAGCATTTTCCCTCTGTTTGGTTCTTCATTGAATATTGTCACTACCAAAATCTTTCTACAGTAATTTTGTACTGTTCCCCGAATAGAGAGTAACCTCTAGAGGAGACAGGATGGGCCTTTCAGTTTTCACATTTCTCAGACACATACTTTTAAGTTTAGGGTACTTGGTTCTACAGATTATGACAGATATAACATCGGGTCAGAATCCCTTACTTTAATAGTATTTTATAATAAAAACTAAGGGGTAAATATAAAAAACAATTTCCTCTTTGTTAACTCACAAAGTTATTGTTCTGTAAAAGAAATTATAGTGACCTTTAGAATAATATGGTCTTGGGGGAAATTTCTAATTAAGAGCACGTAATGCAACAAAGTAAGTATTGAAGTTGTAATTATTATGTAGCGAGAGAGAGGAGAGAGAATGAAGAGAGGTATGCTTCCCCAGGCCCAGCCGTTCACATCATTTGGATAGTTAAATCTAATGACAAAGTAGATTTATATTGAACAAAATGCTTCCTTCTGTAAGAGTTCCTCATACATTGCAACACTGGGATTAACAGAACTTTCCCTTTAATTTCCCCTAAAATGTTACTTTTAAAGGTCTAGATCTTGAGTAGCAAACAGAATATTGGTATTCTTTTAAAGTGCTAGTAGAGCCGGGCAGTGGTGGCGCACGCCTTTAATTCCAGCACTCGGGAAGCAGAGGCAGTCGGATCTCTGTGAGTTTGAGGCCAGCCTGGTCTACAAGAGCTAGTTCCAGGACAGGCTCCAAAGCCACAGAGAAACCCTGTCTCGAAAAAACCAAATAAAATAAAATAAAGTGCTCGTGTGTGTGTGTGTGTGTGTGTGTGTGTGTGTGTATGGTGCACTGTGAGTTAAATTTGCAGGATGTCTGATGGCTTTTTTTCCCCCACTCTCCTGTGAGACTCTTGATTAGGACCAAGCTCTCATAGTGAATGTAAGTCCAGATCCGAGGTACACTGTGACTTATTAAATGGGCTAGTGAATCTGCTCTGAGATATGTTCTGCAGTTAAGGAGTTGAAATAATAATCTTTTGTTTTTAAAGATTGGAAAATAGAAAATAGAAGTGAGAGACAGACCCTTGCTTGCCTATTTTGATGAAGTAAAAGCTGAAGTGAGATCCAGGCATAGTGGGGCAGGCCTGTAATCCCAGCGTTCATGGGAAGAGGTGAGAGGATCACCGAAGTTTGGGGCCAGCCTGGTCTACGTCATGAGTTCCAGGCCAGCCAGAACTGTTTGGCAAGACTATCTTAAAAGATAAAAACAACTGAAATATGTATGTAAAACATACATGAAAACATCCATGATATGTTCTCCATATTCATTATGTGAGGTATAATTTGCAGGGGATTTACTTTATCAAATCATAATTTAATGAAAGAAATGTCATGTAGTTCTTGAACAGGGTTACATTAAGGTGGAGGACGGATGTGGTTGAGTGGTGGGCAGGACTAGGCACACTCCGCTGCAGTCACGGTTCCCCTTGCCAGAGCTAAGCAGCTAGTTCTCAGTCTGTGATCCCATATCTCTTTGACATACTGAGTATACACTGCTGGGGTCCCAGGGCTTCAATTTGCGCATGTGTGCCTCAGTAGTTATCCTGTTGGAAATCAGAACTGAGGATTAAAACATAATTATCTATTTTAAGAACTATGCCCATTACATGTTAAATATAAACATATCAAACATTTGATATGAAGTGTAACTACTCCCCAAACAAGAAAATTTACTGAGACAAGAAGGCATTGCTTCTCATTTTTACAAAGCTCAACTTCTGGCCCACAAAGCAGCTGGGCCCTCTCCTTTGCTTTTGCATTGCTCTGTGTACCTTGTTCTGGTGGAAAGAAAGTAGGGTCTCACACATTTGAATAGTAGTTGCGTTTTCAGACCACCAGAAATTCCCGTTTTTAAAATACCAGATCTGGGCTGTCTGATACAAATTCAGCTGACAAACTAGGAATAGTTTTTTATAACTGTAATTTTTGTTGGAAATTTTCAGTTGTTGGGATACTCAAAGCAGGGGTACACTTAGTGATGTGAAAATAACATGAAATCTGCTTTCAGTGTTTATAAGTAGGTTGATTGGAGCCCAGACATGCTCTCTTGTTTATGCAGCTTTCACAATGTCATTTCAGACTCCATGTTGCATCACAAACCACTGGTCCACAGAGCTTATAATACGTGCTATCTTGGGGCTTTACAGAAGAAGTTTACTGATTCCTGATCTAAACAACATTCAGAAATAAGGAGAGTTTCTTGGTTTTTTAACTCTTGATTCTCTGCTCACCCCCCAAATACCACACATTTTTCTTAGGGTATTCAGAACACTCTAATGTAGACTGCTTGTTCTGCATTAATTCATGTAGTTGATAGTCTCAAATGAATACAAGTTGAGCACTTAGTACTTGAGGACAAAGACATTATATACAGACATGAAACAATGTGAGGACCATTACCATAATAAATCAAAAGCAAAGACAATGTCAGAAACAAGAATTAATGTGAGGAAAGTCAGAACATTTTCTCTAGCCTGCTCATATTGCCTATCATCAGTAGGGCTCTGTGGAACAATATATTCAGGAACTTTCTGAGGTTGGGCTTGGGCTTAGGAAAGAAGATGCTGATCGGTTCCTGCAGGGAAGAGGAGCCAGTGCAAGTGCTAGAGTTTCCCATCCCTAGAATGTAAACCTAATGGATTAGCTGTACTTGTCTAAGGATAGAATTACTCCAACGATAACATGTTTTATTTGCATATAGTAATGTTGGAGTGATTATGTCTTGTAGATAAACTACGTATCAGATCCGGCTCCTTTGAACACATCATTTTTATCCCTTGGATACCTGATGCCCTGTTGTGGTTGTTTCCCTCCATGTTGTGGTAAAAGCACCTGGCAGAAACAACCTCAGGGAGGAAAATTATGGTTCACAGTTTCCAAGATTTCAGTCCGTGTTCATGTGCTTGCACATCATGACAGCAGTCGCATGTGGAGAAGTTTGCCCACTTCTTGGCTGATCAGGAAGGGCCAGGGACAAGATATACCCCCAGACCTGTCTCTGGTGACCTACTTCCTTAAGCTACATCCCGCCTCCTAAGGTTTCCAGAACCTCACAAAAAAGATAGGAACATTAGTGTTCAACACATGAGCCTTTTGGGGAAATTTCATACTTAATCTTAATACCTTTCTATTAGAGAAAATTATGTCTGCCCCAGTTTATTTCTCAGGATTGTCACCCAGATTGTGAGGTACTGGTTCCTTGTAAACACTCAAACTTGTTTTCATTTATTATTGAAATATAATAGCCTAGTTTATAGCATCATAGAAAGAATATACTCTTAATAGCCAGAAAAAGCTACATCCCAACCTGACAAATTAACTTTTACATCTGTTCTTTTTTGTCAGCCAGTTAAGACAGCTGTGTATTTTGTATTCATCTGAGGTTTGTCCTCTTCCTTTACTGTGATGAAAGTCATGGTCAGGCTCTGTGATGTACTCAGTATAGGAAATTCTTAGCACTTGTAAACTGATGCATGGCAACCACCATTGTTTGAATGCCTGTCTGTGCATGAGTTCTGTCTGTCTGTCTATCTATCTATCTATCTATCTATCTATCTATCTATCTATCTATCTATACCTTGCTATTTATTTCTCACCACTCACCAAGATGACTGGAGGACAGTAACACACCTTGCTTATGACCCGTAGTGCTGAAGTTCAGGTACCACTGGATGACATGAAAGCCTGTGAGCGTGTTTTGGTTTATATATCTTTTTTGTTTTTCTTTATCTCAAGTTCTCCCGACTCTTGAAAAAGACTCTTTTCTCTTAACTACTTCACTCATTTTTTGAGAGAGGAACTTGTAAGACTGTCAAGTAATAATTCATCGGGGTCACCAATCATTGAACTGTGCTCTGATGCCCTTGAGGGGAGTCTGTCTGTCTAGCCGA